CATTTTCACGCTATAAAAATACCTCTTCTCCTGGTGCCAAAACCACCTGCTTTGTTTTCACACCTCGCACGGCAGAAGATGATGCTTGGCAAGTGACACATACCGTCGCCATCGCTTCCAACAAGCCCAGAAGACACCAGAACATGTGTAGAAACCACCCGTTTCCACGAATGAGCTCAGTTACGAAAGTGATTGCTTCTGAGATCGAACCCTGGTTACCTGATACAGCCAGGAAGTCATCGATGGAAGTGATGTCATCGACAGCATCTGTCAGCACGCGGACTTGCTTCTCCCACTGCTCTTTGAAGAGATCCATGTTTTCCTGTGCCAGCTTGCTTTGGGGCTTAGCAGCCAGAGCCAGTGCAGCGTTAATGACCTGTAAAACACTTCTGGGTTTTTAACATACCCTTAACGAAACAATTAAGTTTCCATATATTTACACAATGAACTCAACAGCAAACAAAGCAAGTTTAATAAATTTTCAGGAACCTGATGTTTAAACACAAAAGTGTTTATTCTGTTCCTTTCACATCCAACTCATACCTGCTTCCACATTTATTATGGTTAGGTATGCCAAGCAAAAACACTTGGCAAGTATTCACACGGGCTAGCTTCACCTTCCTTTAACAGCTCACGTTAAAAAGGTGTTGCTTCCTGAGTGCAAGTTGTGTTGTTAAATATTTTAGACAGGATGACATTTGGGGTACTGGACATTGCATTTTCTAAGCTACTTGCCAGAACCTGAGAAAAAAAGGTCAAAAAAGGATTAATCTTACACATTCTGAAGTAGAAACAATATATAAATCTGAAGAAAAATTTTGTATTTGTTTTCTTTTTCTTAAAGCTTTACTCTGTACCCTGCCAGTAATTCTTTCAGTACCTTAAGATCTCTGTTATGGCTGTGGAAGATCTAGATCAGCCAGGGAACAGGAGGAGAGGGTACTATTTGATAGTACTAATTTTCTTCTAACTCCAAGACTGTCATTTACCCCAGATCCTTGTTTTTCTAAGCAGTGCAAATGCTACACACACTGCTAAGTAACAAAGTTTATGCTGTGTCAACTAACTGGTCAGTTAGACCAAGAAAAGCCTCTCTGGATGGGGGAAGGAAGCCATCTGAAAAGCCTGCTCCTGCTCTTGCCGCACCATGCTCCAGCAGAATGACCTGGAAACATGCCAGGCATGAGAGACGATCCTAACCTTGTTTTCAAGCACCCAAGAGCTAGAAGTAATTAACTTATAAGTTCAATGTGTAATTTTTCTTCTCTACTTTAGGACCGTATTAATTTCACGAAGTTGCCGAACAAAACACACAAGCACCAGATGTTCCTGGTTTTCCAAAATGTACTTTCTCTACCTGCTTCATTTAAAATTGTCACAAAGCATTTTAAAAAATATATAACTCACTAAACATGGAAATGATGGTGATGTCAAACATATCAGGAAGGCACTGAATGAATCAGGCAGGAGAAGGAGGCTGATTCACCCGAGGGATGCTAGAAATTAGCAGTGACTGAGGAAAATCCACAGAAAAGCTGCACTGCTCCCCACGCTACCTTCCTGCCTCTGGAGATGAAGGCTGCCAGTTCAGGTCACAAATCAAAAGGAGCTCGATGGGTTTGCTAACACAGATGTGAGAAACAATTTGGAATTAGCTGCAATCTTTTCAAGAGACCTGGGTGGGGGGGGTGGGGGTGAAACACCTTTGAACCCTGCAATAACAACAGTGCCCCTGTCCCTCATGAAGAACACGGGGTCCTCTCCTGCTCAAAAGCCCTGCTTCCTAACTCCAGCCAACACCATTTCTTGCCCTAGTCTGACTGATGTAATGAACTGTCCATCTATCAACTAAAATCTAGATATCCAAAGCTTTATGAAGATAAATTCCAATAACAAGTGTCCTAGATACAAACTGGGCAAACCAGACAACGCTCCACAAATCCGCTCTGGGCTTTTATCCCGCAAGTGACCGTAACTACTGACACGAAGAAGGTGGTGATGCCAAGGGTTCAGGACAGTTTCTCTATTCTAGCTACCTTGGCTAGTATCAGATATGAAAACATCCTTTAAGCACTGAGACAGGTCAGCATTAATGCCGAAGGAACATATGGCCTGTGTATTTGTCTGATTTATGTCTGGACAGCAGCAGCTGTCTGAACAATTAATCTTTGTCAACAACACACGTCCAACCCCAGATGCCCACGTTAAGCAACTCTTCACTCGTAATGGAAGAGCTGTCATAGATAGAGGGCTCCGCAAGCACTCAAGAAATTCCAACAGGGCATCATCACCAAATCCAAATGCGGGAGGCACAAGCTGCACCATCATCCTCCCAACAGGCAGCTCGTCCAACTGAAAAAAAGGACATTTTTTTGTACATTATAAGCAAGCATATTTTTAAAAATGGCCATGTAAGCGCATAAGATCTCCCTTACAAGCAGACACATCTTGCACTCAGAATGCAGCCAGCAGTGCTAGAGATGAGGACAACCCGGTGGGGAAACTGAAGGCTATCAAGTGTCAGTGTGGAACTACAGACAAAACTACAGTTTAGGAAACCCACACAGGGTGTGCACTCAGGAAGAAATTCAAGAGAGCAGATGCAGCTCAACAGTCGTGTTTTGTAGCACATACTCTATCTCCATGTGTAAAGTGGCTCCAACATCCCATTTCAGCAGGGGAGGTCAGATCCTTCACTCTGCCGAACACGTACAGCTTTGCATCTATGTAGGCAAGTTATCCTGGACACGTCTCACGTCTGCCCGGGGTAATGTCCCAGGGATTCCTGACAAAACCCTGCAAATTACCTATTTGAGTCAATACGCTCTTAGAAGATGCTTGGTATCCAGTACTGATTTCTTTTCCATCAGATGCTTAGACAGATTTGGAAAAGGACAGGAATGCTGGATCTTAAATAGTCTGTGTATGTAACAGGACCATGATTCCCCTATTATCTAAAAATGAACACTTGGGTGGGGAGGGGAAAGGGACTGATTAAAGGACACCACTGTTTCTCCAAAAAACATGAAGCATTGGGTAATTAATTTAAAATATGAGTACCTCTTACAGGAAGGAGATATCTTTTATAAATAGTTCAAAAAAATGGGAAGAACACAGCCAGACTACCTGAAATATAGTTGCTTCCATGTAAAACATTTGGCAATTTCAAGGAAATATTCTGTATTTCAGAGCTTTTCCAAATGCTGCCAGAGCACTGTGATCACAGTGACTCACTGAAGTCATACAAAGAAAAGAATCAAACAGGGACATTTTGAGACTATCCAGAAGGAAATGAAGCATGGCAAGAAAACACACTATTTTTATCGGTGCTTTGTTTCATGTAGCAATTGCGATGTTCAAGTCAGACAGCCCAACGCTCGATAACGTGGTTACAGGGAGTTACTTGGAGTCGCTCTCCTCCGCCTCACAGCTTCCCACGGCAGCAGCCAGGACTTGGCAAGGCATGCCCCAAGAGCGGGGAGCTGGGGATTCAAAATACTTGCAATTGATGTCTCAGTCTGTACCCCAACTCCTCTTCTCATGTCTTGCATGGGAAGAACCGGTTTGTTTTTGATTTGTTGGGGTTTTTAAAATTATTTTCCACTATTGAAACTAAAGATGTCAGACTGAATTTGCAGATTTATACCTTTGCAGGGCAGGACTTTCCAAGTTTCCCTGAAGAGTGACTTCTCCCTGAGTTACAAGACTGCAGCCACTTTGCCCAGAAGCTCTCTTAAAAACCACAGCTATTCCAGGACAGAAAACACCTTAACCTTAGATATACTTGTGGGTAAATTAAAGCGACTGGGTCACCCAGAATGAATTATTTTAGGCTTAATTTAGGATGGCTTCCAGCCTCACCTTTATAGCACCTGATTTGAAAGACCGATAGAGGCTAGCAGAGAGCTCTTACACGTGTGGTGCTCCTAAAAAGAACAGGTTTGAACACTTGACTGGCACAACCAAAGGAAGAAACATCACTTGGGAGAAGACAACTATAACCTACTTATTTCCTAAAAAGAACAGGTTTGAACACTTGGCTGGCACAACCAAAGGAAGAAACAGCACTTGGGAGAAGACAACTATAACCTACTTATTTTGCATTGCAATCCCCGTCTGTGGTGTTCACAGTCTTAGGGCACGCAATGTCTGGAAGCCACATAACTATTTCAATGGCTACAAGCACTTCTTACTTTTTGCCTCAGTCTCTTTGATAGGGACTTTGCTCTTTACAGGAGACTGTTCTTTCTGCAGCTGGTTTAAACCTGCCCTTGTTCCCGTAGCATTGGTTTTGGGATGCTGCTGTGCCACAACAAGGAGTTTCTCAGTTTCAAAAGCTTTAAACAAACACCCAGTCCTCTCCACTCTCTTCACTACATACTTTTTGTCTACAACCAAAATATCAGCTGTTTGACACTCCCTCACTTGGGTTTTCTTTGTTTTTAAATAAACTTAATTTACCAGCTTTCTTGTGGCATTAGGGTAATAAGCTGGAAAGTAACACCATGACCTTCAAATCCGGGATACTCTGCATTTGTAAAAAGACAAACCACTGGGATGTGAAAACCAGTTTTATTCTGGAGTGGGCGAAAGAGAACTCACCAAGCAGACAGCAGGATCAAGGTTGCTTTGGGAAGAAGATCCGAGAGGCAGAAGTAGCGATCTGAGCTTTGCCTTTTGGAGCAACCTCAGTGAACTAAGTCTGAGCAGAAGAAGTGTCTTACTCAACCTGCCAAAACTGGTAATTGCACCATGCAGTGTCCCTCATTTGCTCCACGTTTTTGCTGCCTCACAGAGTGCTCCTGCGATGCAGAGGGGTAGTCGTAAGGCAGACACGAAAGCACGATTCTCAGATTGCAGCTTTTCAAATGGTCACCAAATAAATCCATGACCTTGACACTAAATCTGCCACTCCAGCTGAGCCCAGCCAGGACTCTCCTCTCTCCCAGGTGGATTTTAATGCCCACATTTTTTTTGTATTAAAACAAGCATAGCTTGCTTACTGGCAGTTTGTAAAAAGCTGCTCATAATTTAATTTTACATATGCCAGATGCCAAAGTTACCTCCAGCATTCACCCTACTCATGTCTCCTTCCCTGTTCCTAATTGCATTTTGCTCTGAGTGGAAAAAAAGGTTCATAAGCAGAACATTTAAGTCACTTCCAGTTACATCCAACCTCAGGTTTGCATCCACATGTCTACACGTGCTAACCCTCTACATACTTCAATACAGCAAAAAGCACTCTGCAGACTCTGACGAGCCAAAATGCCTGGAAGCAAAACATACAGAAGATTGTTTTGTACTTTCTCTAGCTATAATGGCAGTGACCGGCAAGTGTACAGAGGCTGATGCACCAAAAGGAGGAGGAAAAGTTTC